ACAAAGAACTTACTCTTATATTTATATATTTATTTTAGAAATTGGTGGATGATAACTTGGAAAAAATGGAAGCCGCGTTGGTCATTGACTTGAATAAAGCTAAATCTTCACCATTATCCTCACATGTTGACGATGAGAATACTAATTTTTACAGAGATACAACACCACCACCACAATCAGGGAAAAAAATGGCTTGTGAATATTGAGATATCGCCTAGCTCTAAGAGTCTTAAATCACCTATTATTAGGGAAAGTCTTAAAAGGTCACATGAGGATTGATATTACTAATTATATACATAATTTCTTTCTATTTGCTTTAAATTGATTGATTTCATTCACTATATATATTTTATTTATATTTAATGTTGAATACAATATATCTTTGATTGTGAATGCATGTTTTACCCTTTTAAAAAAGAAATTCACAAAAAAGTATGTAGACTAAAAATAGCAATAAAGTAAAAACTATTTGATAATTTATCAATTATCTTACATGAAGAATATTGATTGGTTAAGAAATGAGAAACAAGAAGTGATGAAAAAAATGAAAGATGTTTTTAAAACCACTATGCTTTTTGATCCCTGAAATCCTTGGTAACACCAATGTTCACTTTGTCTGGTTTTGTTGCAGCATGCCCCATATAATATTTATATATAATATTTGTATTAGATATAATGATGATATTGGATTGGAAGATGCAGTTCATACTTCAATTTTAACATTAAAAGAAGGATTTGAAGGACAAATGACTGAAAATTCTATTGAAATTGGAATTATTGGTGGTGATACAACAGGATTTATGGAAGGCAAGGAACAACCATTATTTAGAAAATTGTCTCCTTCAGAAGTTAAAGATTATTTGGCTAATATAGCTTAATATAATAATCTATAAAAATAATCTTATATTATTTAATAAGTATAAGAAAATTAAAATATGCACACCAATAATTATTTTTCTGATGTTAATGTTTGTTTTCCTAAAAGTTGAGAATCTTTTTCTTTACATTTTTCATCCTGATTTATATTTGTTTTATTTCTTTGATATATTATTTATTGATGTGGGAAATATTGTTATAAACAACTAAAACAATGAGCTACAAATAATATTATTGTTCATTACATTAACAAGTAGCAATGCTTCTAATTCTAATAATCTATTTTTTTTTGGGTGGGTGCTTGAATACAAAATTCTGATTGGCTAATTTGAATTTCACGCGCGTGAAATTCAAATTGACGCAGATTCCAAATTCACGCACAACAATCAGACCTTCCTCACTCAACAAAAAAATCACCTTATTGATTAAAAGCTGTTCATCTTAAAATGAGTAATTATAATGAGAGTATACAACCATGGGTTGAAAAATAGTGAGTTACATTACCTTTAATGTAAAATAAAGGATAATTGGATAAAATATAGTTAACATTTACTTTTTTCAAGTCGCCCAAAAGACATTGATAGTGTTAGCTCACAAGAACAAACTATTGCGGTTTTAAAAACAACACTCAAGTCACAAAATGTAAGAAATTTGTTTAAAAGATACATTTTATATAATTTTTTTTTAGTTTATTATATAAATTAATTGAATCTATCAATTTAAATAAATAGTTACCACATATGTTGTTTTATGGACCTCCAGGAACTGGAAAAACTTCAACAATATTAGCTTTAGCTCATGAATTGTTTGGGTAAAAAAAAAATTGTATATTTTTGAATCAAATTATACATGAATCTTTTATGTTTATTTACACAATTATGATTGGTTTATCATCAGTCCAGAATTAATGAAAAGCTGTGTTTTGGAATTGAATGCATCAGATGAACATGGAATTCAAGTTATTAGGGAAAAGGTAAAAAATTTTGCATGTGCAACAGTTAGTTGACATGTAAGGTGATTAGAATTTATTTAATGAAAGCAATTAATTTATTAGATTAAAAATTCACAGTAATGGTTTTAACATGATCTGGAAAATTTTTTTACCTACACATGGTTAATAATAAGCAAATATCCTTGTCCACCTTACAAAATCATTATACTGGATGAAGCTGATTCATTGACACATGATGCTCAAACAGCTTTAAGACGCATAATGGAAAACTATTCTAGAATCACTCGTTTCTGTTTGATTTGTAATTATGTTAGCCGGTAATTAAATTTAATATACATTCACTAATTGTTTCCCCCCAAAAAAATTATTTTTCAAATATAAATATACATTATTAAAAAAATTCATTTAAAGTATAATAGAACCATTGACTTCTTGTTGTGCAAAATTTCGATTTAAACCACTGGATATTTCAAGTGCCAAAAAACAAATTGAACATATTTGTGAAAATGAAAATATTAATTATGATCCCAAGGTAATAATACTATTATTATTAAAGAAATAAATCCATACAAAGTTAATGCTTGATGAAATATTTAGGTTTAATGTTTTCCCTTTAATTACCAAATAGGCTATAGATGAGATTCTTAAGATATCTAATGGTAATTTGAGAAAATCTATAATGTTTCTTCAAAGTGCAGCCAGATTACATCAAAATGAAAGAATTACTGCTGATTCAATTTTAGAAATTGGAGGGGTAAATTAATTATTGATTTATAAATTTTAATTTTAATATTTTTTGTACTATTTGCTGAAAATTTTCAAATAGGTTGTACCAGATGATATTATTGACAAATTGATTGAGACTGCTTATATGCCTATAAATGATGAATCATTAAATTTGATAGATAATATTATGCATCAGGATTTTCTGCTGTTCAAATAATGTCACAGGTAAAAAAAATAAATATATTATTAATATGTATAAATTCATCTATTAAATAAATAAATAAATTTTTTTTTGTATTTTAGATTTGTGATAAAGTAGTAGTTGATGAACAACTAAACAATGATCAGAAAGCTTGTATAGGAGAGGTTTTAGGCGAAATTGATAAAGAATTATGTGATGGAGCTGATGATAATTTTCAACTAATGAAACTGCTTATAAATTTTTCTGAAATTGTAAATCAATAAAAAATTACTACAGAATATATATATTAATTAATGTATATTTGTTGATCTTTTTATTTTAGAGGATAATAAAAACTTGAGAAAAATAAATTACATAATATATATCAGTAACTTGAAAATGCAGCATAAAAATATCAAATATTGAAGATTGAGTATCAATTTTTTTCTGTGTTATTATCTTCATAAGTTTTTCTGTCAATTTGAGATGAGGTGACTGAATCATAAGCTGGTACCAAAGATACAGTGTAAGCTGGAATAGAAGTATATTAAATAACATAATAAGAATTTGGAGTTATTTCACTATATTTTTCATCCATCTTAAATTTTTGATAAATAAGCCCATACTGCCATATAGAAATATTTTCAAAATAAATAAATAATAAATCTATATCAATAAAACAAGGTACTCATAGACAAGTAACTATAGTGAACATATCTACCTCAGATTGTTTCAGTGAGTTTCATAAATATCTTTGTCAAAATAAATGCTACAATACTGATAAAGAGAACCTTAACAAAAGTTGCCACCAATAAAAATAAACTTTAACACAGTTAACTTTATTTTATATAAAAGGAAAATAAATTTAAACTATTTAGTTATTCATTTGTTCCATTCATATCACTCCGATGATGCCAGTAATGCAAATAAGCAAGGTTCCTAAATATATGTAGATAAAATAACCTAATTTTCCTGCCAAAGGCAAAAAATGATATGCATTGAACAAATATGTCAACTAATTGGATAAATGAATCAAAAGAATGTAATTTATTCAGACTCTTAAACTCTTGCCTGTAATGCTTCTCAAAATTAACATGAAACACCAGTATTGACATCACCAGGGATGTACCAAACTTCATAGAGACTAGCTAAAAACTCATTGTCTTCTACTCAAAATCAAGATTAATAACATCATCTCCTTGAGTAGAATAATAGTATTGAATGTAAAATTAGATTTGATAGTATTGGTGATGATGGTGGTGTGAAGAAAATGGTAATATGAATTCTGTGGAATTTGTTATACATATAAATAAAAATATCATGTATGTATGTTCCTTGCACCATTGTCTCTATTCCACAAAGTCGAACAAACATTTTTACAAGCTTTGAGAGCATGGATGCATTGTGATTTTTGGAAGACACAAAGAACATATCTCAAAAAACCAATAGAATAGAGAATCAACATATTTCTGAAACCAAATCAACAAAAACATGTCACAAAAATTTATTTCTACTGCAAAAACATAGTGAATTTTGCAATGAATCTAATTTAATAAAGCTCATTACATTTTGGCATAGTAATATTAATATTTGCTTTTCCTAATGCTTTACACAAGTGATGTTGTCATTATGCCAGAAACCAAGACTGATGCCTTATCTATATTAAATATTACAAAAAGTCCATGTTGTTCCACATACAGATACATCTAAAAGAGTAGAAGAAATAGAAGAAATATAAGAAGATGCAATGAATATGGAATTAGCAAAGGTTTCAGAAATGCCTATCCAACAGCCAGAAATATCAAATCAAATTGAAAAGGATGTTCCAGTACCTTCTACCTCAAATTTAATTTTACCAGATCTAATTGTAATTCGAAGAAGGGTGTTTTGCATATACTGCATAGGATTTGTGGTAAATTTACCTTGAGTTTTACGTCTGTTATTTCTAGATCTGTGAGACAAATCTTATCTATAATGATGTATTATATCAAAGTATTGAGACATATTCATTTTTTTTTCTAGCAACTAGTGATATCGGTCTACTGATTTTAAAATTGATATTCTATATTATTATATGTATATAAATATATATATTCATTAATCATGACAAAAAAATATATAACACTCATTAAAAAAAGGTAATGGTAATAGTGATTGTGACGTTTCTTAGATATTTTTTTTAAAAGTTTCATAATAATAAGGCTTATTGGCTAGAACATGTTTAGTCACACGAACCCGATATAGCAAAATCCCTGGTAGTTAATTGCATGATTTTGATTTTTTCAATTTTAAAAATTTTATCAATTTGTGTCAACAATATATATAACAAAAATGTCAGCTCTTTATAATGATACAGAATCAGATTCGTATGTTAGTAAAATTAGTAGAAGATCCTTGACAAGTGAAAAAAGCTCTACTACCATAACCCAAAGGCAAGTCTATGAATAGATTTATATGCAATTGGTATGTATATCTCTTCATAATTTTCTAAATCTCCAGAAATATTATTTATAGTGATGATGCTGTTTCGAACTCTTGTCACTGGGTGCCTGATGATTATTCCAAATCCGTGGATGAACTGAAAAAATTCCAAAAACTTTGGTGGGATCAAGGGCTCCTCCATCCAAAGGCTAAATGGACTCATGTTGAGTAAGTGATTCCCGTCTTTTTCCTATTAAAGAAAACTAATTTTTTCAATTATATATCAAGGCCCCCATATGTGCTCATTGAAGGTGTGACTTTAGAAGAATACGAATGCCGTGGTGACTTTTTTAATATTCATGGGCTTTGGGAGTGGTCCAATGGCACAGTCATGATCATTGAATTTCCATCAACATGACATGAAATTTGTGTTGGTTCAATTACTAGAGTATTGTTATACCAATGCAACGCCATCACTTTTACTGATGCCGAAGTTTATGTCCTTGGATCAGCTCGTAAGCATGGATTTCATTAACCTTCGATTACTAATACATAATGTAAACTAACCTTGTTGAGTATTTAAAGAAACTTGTGCCGACGGTTCTGGAAAAGAAGCTGATGCTTCATTTAGACCGGAAAAAATAACAACAATTCCACCTAATGGGAGCAATGGAAATGCATGTATCATTCATTCCTTACATTTGTTTTGATAAACTGTAAATTTCACATTTGCATTTTGTTTCAGGACAAGCCATGGCCTAACCTTGTCATTGAAGTTGCATATTTCAAGAAAGTAAAACATGTTATGGATAAAGTACAGGCTTATTGGCTATACAGAGATCGTGTTCATGATGTAATTGTGGTTAAAATTGATCCAGTTCCTGAAGGCCAAATTCCCTCATGCATGAGAGTAAGTTATATATCATTTACAATACGGTAGGATCTTGTTATTAGGATATCATTCTAATGATTGGTTCTTGACAGGCATGGCATTTTTGCATCTCAAGTGGTAGGTTACCAAATGGAACCATCCTGGCTAAATCTATGGTAATGTTACATGCATCAATTCTCCTTCCTGTCAATATATATTAAAATCTCTAATTGATTAACTATTAGTTCGAGTTCAGCACGCAAGACAAGTTTGGTAATGCATTGAATATACAGCAAGGTACATGTATTATCAACATTCAGTTAGACTGCTTGTACTGTGATTTACTCCCCAATATCCAAATACCTAGAAACATTCTTTCTGATCCTATTGAATTGGATTTTTTCTTTGTTCAAAAAGCGATTCTCAAAATAGTTTAATGCTTTATGTGGAATGCAATTTTAGTTCAGTACTTTTATACATTAATATTGCTTTAAAAAAGAAGTTTCATTCTTCATAATACATATTATTATCTACTGTTGGAACACATTTGGCTGTAACCTTAATTTACAAAATAATAGTATGATTTTATTTATGTCATGCATGTGTATAATTTAGTCGTAGGAAATCAAATATAAATAAAAAAAAATCCCATCACTCACTATTATATGATGCTGATAAAAAAAAAATAATTGCGACAATAGTAAATAGATAAAATAGCAATATCCCTTTTAAAAAATATATGTGCTAATGATAATAAACTCTTGTAATTTGTATATGTATAGGATAATATATTGGTGTATGGCTATTTAATCAATTCGTTCTTATTTTAATTCCTTGAAACCACATTTACGATAGTTATTTTAAAATTTTGAACACAATTTCATTTAATAAGATGGTTGTGTAATTTGACCTGGCATTTTATTATGTAGATAAATATTTTTTTTTGTGTTGCAAATTTATGATGTATATATTTTCATAATATTTATTTTTAACGATTTTCAATAATAATTATGATATAATATTTTGTATTAAATAAATATAAGTTCTTTTTTCGATTTTCTAACTTTTTTCTATACATATTTTGATAATATTAATGCTTTTATATATTATTAATTAAAATAAGTTTGATTTTTTTAAAATTGATACATTACAGGGTAATATCATAAATTTGATTTTTTTTAATATTAATACACAGACAGACTCGATAAGTCAGCCGCATAATACTTTTATACATTAATATTGCTTTAAAAAAGAAGTTTCATTCTTCATAATACATATTATTATCTACTGTTGGAACACATTTGGCTGTAACCTTAATTTACAAAATAATAGTATGATTTTATTTATGTCATGCATGTGTATAATTTAGTCGTAGGAAATCAAATATAAATAAAAAAAAATCCCATCACTCACTATTATATGATGCTGATAAAAAAAAAATAATTGCGACAATAGTAAATAGATAAAATAGCAATATCCCTTTTAAAAAATATATGTGCTAATGATAATAAACTCTTGTAATTTGTATATGTATAGGATAATATATTGGTGTATGGCTATTTAATCAATTCGTTCTTATTTTAATTCCTTGAAACCACATTTACGATAGTTATTTTAAAATTTTGAACACAATTTCATTTAATAAGATGGTTGTGTAATTTGACCTGGCATTTTATTATGTAGATAAATATTTTTTTTTGTGTTGCAAATTTATGATGTATATATTTTCATAATATTTATTTTTAACGATTTTCAATAATAATTATGATATAATATTTTGTATTAAATAAATATAAGTTCTTTTTTCGATTTTCTAACTTTTTTCTATACATATTTTGATAATATTAATGCTTTTATATATTATTAATTAAAATAAGTTTGATTTTTTTAAAATTGATACATTACAGGGTAATATCATAAATTTGATTTTTTTTAATATTAATACACAGACAGACTCGATAAGTCAGCCGCATAATTTATACTATTGAGTAC